GCCTTTAACAGCCAATTTGCTTTTTATTTTTTTGAGAACATCTTTTCTTTTTGTTGAGGTAGGAAAATCAATATCAGCAAGACAAAAAAGTGAGTGTGAATATTTACTATTACCAATTTGGTATCCATATATTTATTATGATGTCAGATTGAAATTAGGACATGAAAATGTAGTCTGATAAGGGGAGGGGAAAAGATGTTAAATAAAAAATCAAATCTCTATTACATCCTTTGTTACTTGTCACTAAGTAGATTGATGATGGAAGGAAATGAAGTTTATACAAAGTGCTATATGTGTATCAGTCTTACAATCCCTCCAGAAATTGTAGTATACACAAATATAAATGCAGAATATACATCTTTTATCTATCTATTTGGGATGATCAAGTAGGAGCTTGAAATGTAGATGCTATTTAAGTTCTTTAATGAATTTGGATCCATACCTGTTATATTAGCAACCTATATATATGTTTGCATATAAAATTTACTAAAATTAAAACCAGAAGAAAAAAATGGGAGCCAAACAGGGGTAGTTAATATCAGTATGCTTCAAGGATTATATAGAAGCTTAGCTTGTTTTTGGCTAATATTTTTTGACATGACTGTCTTATACCAGTATACTAATATTCTCATATGTTATCTATGTATGTGTGTTCTTACATCTTCCGACTCGTATAGAGACCTAATTATAGAAGTATAGTGGTCTGTTGAGTATTTTCTAAACTAACCGAGCAGGATATCGAGCAGCCGAGCAGGATGTCGAGCAGCCGAGCAGGATGTCGTAGCCGGAGTGAACAATGGTGAGAGTGGTCAGAGTGATCCACAGAAGCTCGATGAAGGCAAAAGCTGAGAGAGGACAAAAAAATTCAAGAAGAAGTTAATAATACTTTTCCATATATCTATAGATTGGTCTGTGCAGAATTTGAATTCAAGTAATCCAGAATTTCTTAGAATTTCTTAGAATTTCTTAACTGCTAGAAAGAAATTCTTAACTGTGTAAAAGAGAAGAAATCTGTTGATTTGCAGAATTTCTTTTGATTTGCAGAAAAGAAATCTGTTGCACGGTGTATCACCCGTGTAATCCAATAAAATCTGCACACACAATAATAACTCAAATCTGCACACACCATAATAAAATGCATATCACCCGTGTAATCCAAATCCAAACCGTATAACTCACCCGTATAACTCAAACCATATCACCCGTATAACTCAAAAACACAAAAACAGAGCAAGGAATTCAGATGGTAGATAGAGAGGGAAATAGAGAGGGAAGGTAGACAGACGGTAGACAGAGAGGGAGATAGAGAGGGAAGGTAGATAGAGGGTATGGGAAGACAGATGGTAGACACAGGGTATGGGGGAGACAGAGAGTAGATACTAATATAAACACAAACAAATCAAATGAACTGTGTTGGGCGGGAACACCCATTGATCTAAACCATCCATATACACTTAGGATTCATCTGAGCCATTGAATCAAAATGTATCTCACATACATTTTAGACATTTTCAAAAACCTTTGTGACTTATTATATAGATATTTGGATTTGTTTTATTAGTATGATTAATAGAAAAGTGATTAAGTAGAAGGTAGTAGGTGCTCTTGGAGTAGTTCTACACCATTTAAGATTGGACATTTGTCTATTTATCTCCTTAAAAAGAGATATAAAAGTGATAAAACCAGCTATTTTAATCAATTAAACTCAATTTAAAGCATTACATGACTTTGTTTTGAGATAAAATATATAATTTCTCTTGATGATTTTTGATGATTTTTTTTTTTGTAATTTCCAACAAACGAATCCAAAACTTCCAAGATGATTTTTTTTGTAGAGTGAAATTTTTTGACCTGTTGAGATTTAATTCTATAAAACGTTGAAAGTATAATAGTATTAAGTTATAGGTATAATAATATTGATAATTACTTTTAAAAAAATTCCAAACATATAAAAAAAATTCTAAGATCACTCTATAAAAAATTATTTATAAGATCTGGACTCCCCAACGAACGCCTTAAATATATATTTTTTCCTATTTTAAGGAATTGAAATTTAAAAAACACCAAATATCCTAAGCCCTAGTTTGGGGAGAAAAAGTTTGGGATTTTTTTTAGCTAAAATAGCCACACACACAAAAAAAAAAAAGATTAAAAAGCCAATAAGATAAAATGTCACATTCAAATTATAATCATTTTATTTTTTCTCTCACAAAAGTCAAAAAAGTCAAAAAACTTATTCCAAACGAGATTTTTTAGCCCCAAACTAAAATAGTTAAAAAACTAGAAAGTCAACCCACATTCCAAACGAACCCTAAACAGATCAGTCATGTTTCCAAACTTTGTTTGGTTTTGAGTTTCCAATTCGTATTTTTCTATTTTTTGTGATTTTTAAAAAATATTTTAGGGGTTGTTTAAAGTGTCCTAAATAAGTGCACTTTTTGACTTTTTAAACTAAAAGTTGAGAAAAAAAATATGGTTGTTTGGGTTAACTTTTTGACTTTTTTATGAGAAAATGTATATTAAAAAATTGTATAAATTAGTGTGTAGGAGAAGATTAGAGGGTGAGTTGTACGGTTCTCATGTCTGCAAAGGTGGAATAGATGCTAAGAAGTAATTGTCTACTTTTTGGGCATTACACTGGACGGTGTTGTTCAGCTCGTAGGGGCCATCACGGGCCCCGTTTTGATAATTTAAATTGTTGAATGTGTAGAACTCGTCGAGTACTAAATGCTTGTAAAAAATTACGTTGATCGGATATCGATAGCTATCTTATCAGATTTGTTTTTTTCCAACCGTTAATTATAATACCTTTATTTTTTCATACAAAACTGATTTGATCATGTAGTTATCGATATCCGATCAATGTGATTTTTTACATATATATAGTACTCGATGAGTTCTACATACTGAACAGTTCAGATTATCAAAACGGGACCCGTGATGGGCCTCCACGGGCCGAACAAAAGTGTGTTAAAATTGCACGCCAACTTTGCAATTTTTGTTACACAACGTAGCACAGATCTGAGGCTGTCAGATTGATGTGTTATAATTTTGTGTATAAAATTAATTTTTTAATATTTTTTTTGATGATAGTGATAACTTTTTAATTTTTTGAACAACTTTTTGACTTTTTGTCTTTTTGTCTTTTTTGTGATACGCCAAACTTGGCCTTATTCATTTTTTTTTTAAACTTTTAGATCCATATTGATATATTAAAAAAAAGATAAAATTTGTACAAAAATATTTAAAAAATTCATTGAATGCAACAAAATACAAAAATTTATTGAATTTTCATATTTTTTTTTGTATTTGGTATTTTTTTTTAAAAAAATTCAAAAATATTATGGGTTTTTAAGTGTATTTAGATTAGGTATATCTAAAAAAATTCACTAAAATTTAAAAAAAAAACAAAAAACAAAATACTCAATTTAAATTGTTTTGATAATATGCTATTTTAGTATTTTTTTTTTAAACTTTTTCATCCAAAATATGAGTTAAAAAAAATTATTATGTTTAAAATGAGTTTTAACTTTTTACAAAAAAAAATATATATATATAAAAAGTAGAGACTATTATCAAGGGAAAATTGGTCTAAGGTCCCTCCTCTACTTTTGATAGGAGGAGAAGTCCAAAATAATATGTTTTGATGGCTAAGGTCCCTCAAGTTTATTTTAGGCTATAAAATACCTAATTTATCCTTCTTTTATAACATATATTTGTTTAAATACTATATTGTTGACTTCATGGGGAGATTTTGGAAACTGACTTGGCGGTGGCGATTTCGTCGGAGATTGTAGTGGAGTTGACGAGAAATTTGTTTGAATGTTATATTGTTGACTTCACGGTGGAGATTTAGGAAACGGACTTCGCGGTGGTGATTTTGTCGGAGATTTCAGTGGAGTTGACGAGAAAGATTGCTACGATCTTGTAGGTGTTACAGTGGAGTTGAATCAGATATGTTTTCGACGGAGATTTCAGTGGAGTTGACGAAAAAGATTACTACAATCGCGTAGGTTTTTCAGTGTAGTTGAATCAGGTATGTTTTCAATGGAGATTTCACATGAATTTTGATTTTTGTTTTGAATTTTTGTTTAGAGAGAAACTAGCTTGATAGAGTTGATTTTTATTGTTGGAATTAATTTTTCATTCTATGTTTTTTGATCAATTTCAAAGAGTGTTGACAGTGTAGTTGATTTTGATATTTAAAGTTGATTTTTCATGCTTTGTTTTTCATCAACATGCTGATCAATGATAAGTTTTGTTCTATATTTTTTCAAACCAGAGAAATTTTTTTAAACCAGAGAAATTTCATTCTCTACACTTTTGTTGGTATAGTCCAGAGAAAATTGTAAGTTTGTTATTATAATCCAACGAAAATCACAGAGAAAATTATAAGTTCATATGGACATATTATTAGAAGTTTCTAATGCAGATAGAATCTGAGAAAGTGAATGTAAGTTCAAAAATTTATTTGGACTTTTCTTTGTAGTTCAGAGAAAATTATAAGTTTGTTACTCACTTTCAGTTTGTAATTCAAAGAAAATTGTAAGTTTGTAGTTCAAAGTGAAATAAGTTTTTGTTTCTCTGAGCAAAAGTTATTTTTTGTGTTTTTTCTTTCAGTTTAGATGGACAATGCAGTGTTTTTTTCTTTCAGTTTGTAAATATCTCTGGACTTTTATTTGAGTCTAGATAAAATTATAAGGTTGTTATTATAATCCAGAGAAAATTATATAATTTGTAGAAATTTCTCTGAACTTTTATGTTGTTCTTGTGAAGTGTTTTTATGTT